GGTTCTTGTGTTTGAGAGGCGAGGGAATGGGGTTAGGTTGTAAGCGTTGATCAGAGGTCAGATACATGAACTGATAATTGCTGCTATTTGCATGAAGCAAGCGACTATCACTAGGAGCTGGGGGCGAAATGCGATCGCCACCTGGCGTCGTGGTCGGCCACGGAAGTGCAAGGGCTTGTGTCAGCATCTTCTAGCAACACAGCACTGGATTCGCTAGCCGTAAACCACTGCTGCTTCATGACCCGGCGCCCGATGATTGCCGCGGACCGCTGCGTGTAAATCCATGCGGAGTGTGAGCGTAACTGTTATTGACCTTTGACCTGCTTTTCACGCACGAAGCAGTTCTCCAGCATTTAGCGCCGGTTGGATTTGCTCCCCCTGTTGGTTGCGAACGCACTGGTGGAGAAGGTTGCTTGGGTAGCCATTCGCTCTCAGAACCCACCGACGATATTGTAAGTGCTGTCTACCGTCTCAAATGCAGTGCGTCGCAACGCGCGCGTATAGCGCCCTTACTCAATTGCGTTTGTGAGTGAACCGGGGGTTGCTATTGAAGTTCAACACTTGCAACGTATTTGTTACTGTCCTGAACAAGTTTGCAGCAAAGGAGGACATCCGCAGAGGCCAGGGTAGCCCTTTTGCATTCGCGCACCTTATACACGACCACGACTACATGCAGTACAGATGTACCTTTCTCGAAAGAATATTTGTGGAAAAGTCGTCAAAACGGAACTGGTGAGGAAACGACCCAGCTAGTGTTGAACTGCTGCCGAAGGCCATCGCCTTGTTTTCAATCCAAGGTTTTAACAAAAATAGTCTGGAGCACTCAAACATGATAGCTCAAATACATACCCATCGTCCTGGTTGATTGCCAATTAAGACGACCGCTGAGAGGGGCTGTACTTACTACGGAAGCTCGTCAAGAGTGACTTATACTATCCTGCAGGAAGTCATGTTTAAGCATGCGAGGGAGATTTGGGAGACTGAATTCGTGTTTTTACTCCACGCACTCATACCACTGCGGTACGAGGTATATCATCCAATTTAAGTGTCTTTGAGTAGATTTTAACGAAGCTCTCTGATGGTCCCAGAATACTTTTACTAGGTCCGTATCTATGTGATAGCCCTTCGCAATTAAACGATACCTTTCATCCTTATGCTGTCACTGAACTCTGTATTTTCCTCCTATCCTTAAACATATTTAATACACCTGCTGATTGGTCCTTACCATTAGGAGAAGGCATTCCCCAACAGTGTCGTATGCCTCTCGAGAGTTTTGAGTTAGGTCATTTAGGTTGCTCTGGCCTACATACCGTAGTCCCCTACTTGCTCAGGTGTTGGTCTTAATTAAACTTGGCAGCTGACTCCATTTTCCCAATGTCACGACAGTAAAAACGAGGTCTTTGTAAACATTTGTGCGTTCACACTGAATGGGGTAGACTTTTTGCCCATTCAAGTAGTGGTTGTGTACGTCGCCTTATTCCTGTTTGACAGTTAGAAGTGCGTAATTCAATTAGATAGCCTAAAGCCTTAGATAACCGCAATTTGTTTGGCTAATATGTCTTTAGCCGGATGTCACTCTGCATAGACAGCCTTGGGGCAATATCTTGATCAGCCGAGAACGGTCACAAGTTCTTCCATGTTATTCATCAAAAGACTCGCTTTACTTGTCTCATCTTCGTTGGTTACATGTTTTCTTCGCTGCAGACACCATTTACTGAGGTACCATTGTCGATAATCCTGCAATTTCTTGCAAGCCTTTCTGTGAATTCCAATTGTAGACCCCTTTCTGATGTCTACCATAGCCCAGCTAATCATTTTAGTTATCGCACATTTTAATGGTTATGGGATAGAGGGCCGATTTCGTCTGTACTGTCGACAAAGACTATGGAGAATAGACTGGCTCTGTCCAGTTAGTTTTTGGTCGTCAGTCGACCCCACCTTAACCTCAGGCCAGGCCGGTTTGAGATTTCTAACCGGTGTTTACTGCTTGCTACTGTATGACCGCCTGTGTGGCTTCTAAGTTGGAACTCTGGGGCTTTACTGCACGACATATGTTGCCTTGCCGCTAGAAAATAGTTATAAACGCCTAAACTCGGATGACATTCAGTGACCAGCTGGTATTGTGTACAAACCACGGGTCATCCCTGTCTGCGACTGATATGTTTTTTTTTCGTGTGAAATGGGCCAAGAATGTCCAATCTGCCCCCACTTGCCTTTGCGGGTATTAATTTTCTATTTGTGTTTTCTTATCGTTGTGCAATCCCATTCGAGGGCTTTGGGGCTCTTATTTCACTCTGCGTTCGCTACTTTTGTGGTGCATTTAAATTGGACTTCGGTCTATTTGCGTCGAAAAAGTTTTGGGCTGTCAATTATCACTATAGCAACGATATATTACAATGACCTATGGAGACACGTCATTCAGCTTTCGACCTGGGATCCGTGGTAATTCTTCGTCATAAGTTGTTACCGTCTTTGTATGTTGCCGTATGCTATGGGTTTTTTCTTGGAATTAATTTGAATAGTGAAGCTAAAATGCAGGGAAGAGAAGGTATGCGAAAGTTAAATCAACTCCCTGTACTTGATTAATCCCTGAGCCCCAAACAGACAGACGCCCGCGACGAATCCACATGTTTCGCCCCGAATTTTTCATTTCATCCACAAGTCTACATACATGTCAATTGCTGTCAATTTTATTCTTAGCTGATCCTGAGACTCATGTTTCTCATTACAGCTATTCTGCTCTGAACCCAGCTGAACAGGTAGGCAACGCGTTAGGTTTGGTCTTGGTGATATTTGGTGGCCTCGTGATCTACCTAGTCTCGCGTTACGAATATCGCCGCCAGGAAGCCCCATCTGCCGAGAGTACGGGCTTTGCAGCTTTGAACTAGCGATTATATGGAATCGCTGACCAGACTGATGGCTAATTTATCCATGATCTTCAGTCCAGTCCTCTGTGTATTTTGCCGCCTCTCATCTTATGTTCTGTCCTACTAACAAACTATCGTGTTGTTGTGATCTTTTGCATCTCAACTTGCCACCTTCCCGTCTCTGTCTCTCGCATTTTTTATTCCAATTCTCCACCAACATGCATAATCAGGTATTTCTGCAGACAATAGCGTCTGATACCTTTAATCCATTTATCTTCAGCGTGTCTATGCGAACAACTTGCCTAAATCTGTAGGTGTTGTGTACATGCGATCCAAGTTATATTTGTCTTATCTCTGCT